AAATTCCAAAGGTTTTAGGAGCTCTGTTGTCAGGAATAGGGATGAAGACCAGAGATATATATTTCTCATTATAATCACAACATCACAGTCATTCTTTGGTGTTTTACTTGTATCTTAATTGCTTACCTAGAGAAGCAGTAGCATTTCCCACCACATACACCGACTTGGCATTCCATTTTTCTTTCAGAGACTTTTTCCAGACTGTAAAATATGAAATTCCATGTGAGTTTCAAATATCAAAGTGGCCATTTGGACAGCTGTCCAAGGCTACTGGTTTATGCTAAAGAACTTGTGAGCGAGGCAAACTATTAATAACTGAATACAAAGAACAGTATCCCAAACTAAAACCCATTTTCACACTGTTCATATTCTGCAGGCCAATTTTAAAAAATCACTTAGGCAGACGTTTCAGGATGCCTTGCTTAATATTAAATCACTTCCACAGTTCACACCGCAAGCATTTTTAATGTGTATCAGAAAACAAACACAACTTGAAGAATTAATTTGCATGGTGATATTAAAACTAAAAAATCTAGACTTTTAAAGAAAAATTACTGGTCATGAAATAGAGGCAACTTAAATGTCAATGAAGCAACACAACTGGTTTTATTTACATAAATCTGAAAGCAGCCGAGAAACTGTCACCTCAGATGAGAGGGCTCACTATCCATTAGGTCAACGCAGAGATAATAAATTCCAGGTTCGTAAACAAATGCAATTTAATAGAAAACACTGCCATTTCATGATAAAAAAATAAACATTTAAAATATGGATTAAAGAAATACCAAGAGAAAATGGGTTGTATAAATGTACCACGAGGCCACTTGGCGTTTGACACCCTTTTAGAAGACAAGGAAGCACTAGTTCTTCTCCCTAAAATCTGATTATGAGCATAACTCTCCCTTAAATTCTATAGTGTTACTCCACCCTTTATGCTCCTCTGAGAAATCATCTTTTAAATAGCAACAGAGATTGAGTTTCACCTTCTTTCCTTTCCTACTCCACTGATGTAAATAATATTTATCAAAAAATTATCCACAGCATGTGAACAAGCCATTCTCCAAGCCTCGCAGTGGACATCGGCTGGAGCCAGCCCTGGCTGGAATCAGAAAGCCAAAAGTCAGGAGGAGGAAGGAAATAATAAAGCTCACAGTGGCCGCAATGAAATGCAGACTAAAAACACAGTAGAAAAGATCAACGAAAATAAGAGCTACTTTTTAAAGAAGATAAACGAAATTCATAAACCCTTAGCTAGACTCACTAAGAAAAAAAGACAGAAGGCCCTGCCCTTCAGAGCCGGCTCTTTCCTTTAACTTGGGTTTGTTCCTGGCGAGTCAGCTAACCCACCTCATCTGTTTCCCGGTCAAGATAACTGGACTTAACTGCACCTCTCCTGCCTGTATCGGAGAGTTGTCGTGAGACTCAAAGTAAGAAAATGCATGGGCTCTGTGTACAACTGTAACTTACATAATATTGCACATCAACTACACTTCCATTAAAAAAAAAGAAAATGTACGGGAAAACGCTTTTTAAACCATAAAGTGCTGTAAAAAGTTACGGTGTCCAATTCTGGGCTTTTCTTCTTTTTTGTCATCTTCATCCTCAGAACACACACAACAGGAAAAGCACAACTGTAAGAGCCAGCTTCCCAAGGCACCACTGGCAGAGAACCTGCGGCCTCTCCGTCTCGAGTTGCCCTTCTCCGTTTTGGAG